GATTCGCTTGTCGCTGGCGGGGATGGTGGAGCGCTGGGTGTTTTCTGCAAACGAGAGGTTGGTCTGGTTACGCAGACGCGTGAGTAGCAGGCGAAGCATATCTGCTGAGGGCGTCTGAAGCGCCTGATGGAGCTCTGCGCCGTCGGCAAAGGGGACCATGGCCTTGTTGGTCACCGTCTCCTCGGGTGTCGACGCCTCCTTGGCGTTGCGCTCATCCTCGGAGGCCTCTGAAGCGGAATGAACCGACGCAGCGGCATCAGAGCCACGACGCTTTCGCTTGTCCACCATGCTGGTGGAGCGTGTCGTATAGGATCGACACGGTGCTGTGATGGACGAGGAAGGAGCAGGTGAAGAGAGAGGCAGAGTCGAAGGCGCTCGTGGACCCCAACCCAACCCAAAAGCTTTGCGGCCAAAAAAGGCAAAAATTGGTCTGTGGTTGGTCGCCTTGGAAATTTTTGCCGCTCCACAAAGCGTTCATCCGCTCTTCTTCGCGAAAAAGGGTGCAAAGCAATCTCGGAACTCGGAGTCCAAAGTCGAAGCTCGTCACGTGGGCGAGCCTCCACCACGGCCAAGAAGACTTGGGAGTGATGCACAGATCAACTTTGTCCTCCAACACCATCACCAAGACGCCTTGACCCGGATTTGGAAGCCAGGCAGGGTGACGACCACCAGTTTTGATATGTCTCCACCAAGAGTGCTGACGATTGCCGGCTCTGATTCGGGGGGAGGAGCCGGCATCCAAGCTGATCTCAAGACCTTCCTGTCACTTGGCACCTACGGCCTCTCGGTGCTGACCGCACTCACCGCGCAGAACACCACCGGCGTGTCGGCGATTCATGCGTGTCCACCCGAGTTCGTGCTGCAGCAACTAGAATCGGTCTCATCTGACATCCAGATAGATGCAGTCAAGATGGGCATGCTGTGCAACGAAGGCATCGTCGGTGCTCTCGCCAAGCGTCTCGGCGAATGGAGGCAGTCCACAGGCCCACACGGAGGCTGCAACGTTCCGATCGTGCTTGATCCGGTCATGGTATCTACATCCGGCTCACTGTTGCTGTCGGAGGGCGCCATTGCGACGCTCATCCGAGACCTGCTGCCGCTATGCACCCTTCTAACGCCCAATCTGCCCGAGGCTCGTCAGCTGCTCAACTACGCCGCCAAGTTCACCTCGCACCAGTCAGCGACACGCGAGCTGGACCTAGCGAAGGAGAATGAAGAGACAGAGCTTCCTCAGATGATGGCGGCAGCAAGGAACATCGCTCAGCTTGGTCCACGCGCGGTGCTGGTCAAAGGAGGACATGCCAAGCTCTCCAGACTCCAGATCGACGAGTACTTGAGCAATCGAGCTGAAACAGCATCTGCAAAGGTCGAAAAAATGGCGCCGACGTCCGTTCCATCGATATCACGATCTTCTGGCAGTCGCTATCCACAACGTACCAAGTCTCGCCCGGCGGATGCACACCAGGGCAGGATCGATAACGAGGATGAACTACGCCAACTCGCCGGCGTGGACGGCGCCATCATTACACGCAAAGGCAATGTCACTGCCATCCGGACCGACCAGATCCCATTCAGCGACGTCTTACACCAGCGCCCTGCTTCGCCTGGTGCCGATGACAAGGTGGTCTGTGACGTGTTGTATCAGCAAGGCGAGGACGGAACGGATGGCACTTTCGTGTTGTTCGTCAAGCCGTTGCTCGCATCCAGTGCGACCCACGGGACCGGATGCACGCTCTCGTCGGCTCTGGCGGCATCGCTGGCGCAAGGCCACTCGCTGGTACGTGCGACTTCAATCGCCATCAAGTACGTCCAGAACGCGATCGCCTGTGGGATACAAAATCTCGGTAGCGGCCCTGGCCCACTCGACCACTCGTACCCCTTCCAGCCTCGTGGGCTGATTGCCTCGCCATCGGACTTGGGAAATGGAGAGCTGTCTCTGCACCGAAGCTTGATCGCGAACTCGCTCGATGCATGGACTGGATTCGTGCAGCACCCCTTTGTGCTCGGGTTGGCGGATGGCAGCTTGCCACGAGATGGATTTGTGTGGTTCATGAAGCAGGACTACCTGTTCCTGCGCCACTATGCGCGCATCTGGGCCCAGGCGGCTGCATCTCCAGACACCACATTCGACGAGATTACGACTCTCGTCGACATGTCTCGGTCCATCGCACAGGAAGCCGAGCTGCACAAGCGTCTGTGTCGCGAAAGCCTGGACGTTTCCGAAACCGAGCTCGAGCACGGCACAACCGAAAGCGCGGCGACGCTGGCATACACGCGCTTTGTGCTCGACACAGGTCGGTCGAGCGACGTGCTCGACTTACTTGTTGCAGTGAGCCCTTGCATGGTGGGCTACGCACAAGTAGGACGTTGGCTCGCACACCATCGCTCCGCGACACTCAAGCAGGACTATGTGGAATGGATCGAGGCGTACGCCAGCGACGACTTTCAACAGGCGGCACGAAAAGCCATGCAGCTGATTGAAGCCCGAGCCGCACGAGACGACCTCTCGCCCGACCGGATGCGCAAGCTCCAGCGGATCTGGAACGCTGCCTGTCGCCTCGAGGCAGGCATGTGGGACGAAGCCATAGACCCCAGCCTCCGCAGACCGGTCCTCGAACCCTGATCTTGAAATTGCGCTCACACATGTGCCGCAGACGCAAAACAACTCGCGTGTACCTCCCGGCTGAACCTCGTCCGAGCCGTGTGAGCCGTAAGCGATGACGGTGTAGACAACGCTTACGGAGGTTGGCTAAGAGATGTGAGCCCCGTGCGGGCGAGGGGGAAGGACCTTGCTGGCGCCACGTGCTGCGGGGAAGCTTTGCAGAAGCGCGATGGTGTCGGGGCAGCTTCAGCTCTTGAGACCCTGAGCTGGAAATGCTGAGTGAGCGCCGACGGTGTTGGCTCGTCACCGCCCTCGAATCGCGCCCCGAATCGCGTCCGGGATCGGCGATTAAAAATTCGTCGGCGTCCAGCGCGTCTCGGCTGACTAGTGGCAGCGATGATGCAACCCGGCATGAGCGCAAGCCACTCAGCGCTTACAGATCGCCAGCACCATCCGGCTTCGGTTGCGGCGTCTGACCTTCCACCGTTCTCTAAGTAAACAGCCCTTTGGTGTTTAGTCTCATCGACATTGCCAAGACCGAGCTGGCAGCTTTGGCGAGCGTGTCTCGCAATGCGATCCATAGATTCGAAAGCCACTGCGATTTGCTCCTCTTTGCTGGTGTGATTCCGGGCAAGAACCTGTGAGGGCATGGCAGAAGGTGAGAGGCTGAGCTGTGTTCACCTTCTCCGGGGGTAAGCTGCTCGCCCGCCTTGCGCAAAGCCTGGAAAGTCTAGCGGCTCACGAGGGGCTCTGGACAGGCAGAAGAGACGGCGGCCCAGGCAGGCGGTTGGTGCGGCCGGATGACGGCGGCCAGGCTCCCACGGCCCAGGCTGGAGCGAAGGCTTCTCTGCGAAACCGGCTTCGATGCTTATCGTTCTGCATGTGCAGCGAACGGTTCGCAAAATATTCTCCGACGGTGCAGGCGGGCGGGCGGCAGAAGGGCGCCAAGCCGTCAGAACAGCGGCAGTTTGCAGCCAAATTCCGCCGATCGATGCATCCGCAGCTTCCCAACGTCATTTTCGGCCCGTTCGTCCTCCACCCAAGCTTAGGTACGACGGTCCTCGCTTGACGATTCCGCATCCATTCGCCTTCCCTGTCCTGTACTGCAGAGCCTCGCTTCGCCTGCAGCCAACCGGATGACTTTAGGGTCCACCGTCTTGGGCCCTTCGCCCAAACCTGATCGCGTTAGTGCAGCACCGCCCATTATTCGCTCATCAGCGATGATGTAGTTCCTGCGTCTGATGCTGTTTCTCTCTGTCGTCGTCACGGCAGCGCCCGTGAGTGGTGGAAAAAACCCCGAGACCCTGGGCACCCGTCCTAGTCTCGCCAGCGAGTAGAAACCCACAGCCAACCGGGCTTCCCCATCTTTTTCCTTCAGCCTTGTCGTCGGCTGGCCTCTTCTGCATTGCAATAGAGCTGCCCCCCTCAGGCCACGCTACTCGAGCTTAAGATACTATCGGTGTGTCGTCTTGCTGCACGCTTCGTTCCCTACCCCACGCATCCCCTTTTCCCCTCGGATACCCTTCTTTCCTCGGCGTCCTCCTACATCCGACTGGTCTCCATCATGGCCGACCACGCCGCACCATCACGCGCCTCTTCCTCGGAAGCAGGCACGGCCATCGCAACACCCCACCAGAACCCGGACAAGACCAAGGACACCACCTCGCAGTCGAGCGAGCCGTCGCAGGACGATGCTCCCGCCGATGTTCAGGCGATCCGCGAGAAGAACGACCTCGTCAAGACCAACTCGGAAAAGCAGCGCGAGGGTGAGCATGACCTCGAACCCCGCGATGACGGCAAGATCGTGCTCTCCGAGCGAGCTGGCTACCTGGCAACGGGCTACTCGTATCCCACATGGCGCAAGTGGGCCATTCTTTGCGTTATCTTCGCCGTACAGGTCTCGATGAACTTCAACACCTCGGTCTACCCTAATGCCGTCACCGGCGTTGCAGAGAAGTACGGTGTCAGCGAGCCCGCCGCTCGTGTGGGTCAGATGATCTTCCTAGTGGCCTATGCGTTCGGGTGCGAGTTTTGGGCACCATGGTCCGAAGAGATCGGTCGATGGCCCGTCCTCCAGATCTCGCTCTTCCTCGTCAACATCTGGCAGGTGCTCGCTGCACTGGCTCCCAACTACGGCTCGCTTATCGTCGCTCGTTTCCTTGGTGGTCTCTTCACCGCCGGAGGCTCGGTGACGCTCGGCATGGTGGCAGACATGTGGGAGCCCGATGAGCAGCAGTTTGCCGTGGCTTTCGTCGTGCTGTCCTCCGTCGGCGGTACCTCGGTCGGTCCTTTTATTGGAGGCTTCATCCAGGCTTATCTCAAGGTGGAGTGGAACTTCTGGGTTCAGCTCATCTTTGGTGGGGCTGTCCAGCTCGTCCACTTTGTGCTCGTTCCTGAGACAAGGTCGACGATCCTGCTTGACCGCGAGGCGAAGCGCCGCCGCAAGAATGGCGAGAAGAACATTTACGGCCCCAACGAGGTCCGCACGGACCGTTTCAGCATGCGCGAGATCGGAAAGTACTGGCTGCGACCTTTCGAGATGTTCGTCCGCGAGCCGATCGTACTCTTCCTCTCGCTGCTTTCCGGTTTCTCGGACATGCTCATCTTCATCTTCCTCGAGTCGTTCCAGCTCGTGTACAAGCAGTGGGGCTTCAGCACCGTCCAGGTCGGTCTTGCATTCATCCCGATCAACCTCGGCTACCTGCTTGGCTACTTGATCTTCATTCCCCGCTTCATTTGGGAGCGCAAACGCCGCGTACGCGACCCCGACGCGCTCAAACCCGAAGCACGTCTCTGGCTTCTGCTCTACCTCGTTCCGCTCGAGACGCTTGGACTCTTCGGCTTCGCATGGACATCGCTCGGCCCTCCTCGCGTCCACTGGATCGCTCCCATGATCTTTTCGACCATGATCGCCATCGCCAACTACTCGATCTACATGAGCACGATCGATTACATGATTGCCGCATACGGACCTTATTCGGCATCGGCGACGGGTGGCAATGCGCTCGCACGTGATTTCCTCGCCGGTGTCTCGGCGATGTACGCAACGCCACTGTACAACCGACTCGGATTGGAGTGGGCAAGCACGCTGCTTGCCTTCCTCGCCATCATCGTCGCCATCCCCGTCTACGTCTTCTACGTCAAGGGTCCCCAGATCCGAGAGCGCTCCAAGTTCGCCCAGTCGCTTGCCGACGACAGGAAGGCGAACGGTGGAAGGCGCACGGATCAAGACGAGAAGGCCGAGCGAGGCGAGACGTACAAGAACAAGAACAAGTAGAAGGTGCTTGCAGGCAGCAAAGCCGAGCACATCGCCCAATTACTCGTCGGGACAGAGCGTGCTCGTCGCCATCGTTTAGAATATGTCTTCGATGTGCTGTGTGTAGATCCATGGCTTCCAGTGTCTCTTTCCGATATCATACCTGTCAATCACGTCAAAAATGAACCTTTTACCCTCATCCCATTCAACCGAATGTGATTCATGTTATTAAGTTCCGCTGTCCCCACCGTTTTTCTCGGTGCGCATAACCTTCTCGTGTGCTCCATTTGAGGAAGGTTTGCTTTCGGCATCTCGCAGGAGGAGAAAGTCTGAATGCGCTCCGTCTTGGCCGAAAGTCGGCAGGTTCAGAGCTATGATGGGGGGATCGCCAACACCCATAAATACGTGTCGTTTCTATCCAGTGCCCGCTCTTCCTCACTTCAACATTTCTGTATCGATTCCACCTTCTGTCCCTTGCAACTATGGCCGAGGTAGCTAAGGACGCTCCTGATGGGGCCAGAGACGATATTCAGAGTCCTAACCAAGAGATCCCCCCGTCTTCCGCGCAGTCTCCGGTCAAAGACTGCGGAAAAGATAAAAATGATGGATTAGAGGGAAAGGATTCCGAGGGCGCAAACGAAGCCGAAGCGACCGTCGCAAGCACCCCTGATGTCAGCGCCAGTGCTGTGCAGTATTTCCGGAACTTGTGCGAAGTCGCTGGTTTCCGATACAAAGAAGACGACTATTCTGCAGCATTAAAGACTTGGCTTACAGCGCCTGCACACAAGTACAGAGCAGTCCACTACCACGAGCCTGGGCTCGTCTTTTCGGCAAGAGTACTTCATCATCGTTCGCTGCCAGGCTTCCACGCTCCCAGATTCGCTTCTTCTGGCTTCCCCGGTATCGTGGTGCACCGCTTCCAGATCAGAAACGGTGGTCTTTGCGGACCCCGAGAAACCAAGCTAAGGTGGGCAGAGCTCCGTCAGAGAGTTGCAACGTTCGTACCCGACATCAAAGAAGAGGATTACGTATTGTCTGGGCCTTTTTGGATCGGCGAGGTGATGTGCTACATCGACATCCTTCTTATCAACCCTGCCTACCATGACGAATTCTACAAGATCAACTTCACCACTCGCCAAGGTGTTTACTTCGCACACCATTCTGTCGGAGCAGACGTTCTTTACGATGCTGTTGTTCTTCTCATCAAAGGTCTCGACGAGAGGGTGGATCCTGTGGCGGTAGCCGACCGTATCAAGAAAAAGTTTCGCAAGAGAGTCGATTTCAGTGTCGTCTGGGGCGTGCACTCAGCCCAGAGTCCTTCCGAAGAGGCTTCCCGCCTTCAATTCGAGGGCTCCCTTTATCTTGTTGGCAAGGCTCGTCCGTTTATCAGCGACACCGAACCAGGCTGGCGTCCCATCGAAGATCCTACCTTTGTGGACCTCAAGGGCATCGAGCACGCTGGCAGCAATCACAGCGTACGCTGCATCACCCAGCCTAGAAGGGTTATGCACGTCAATGGATGGGATTATGTCTACGAACCGAGACGTGACGACTAGACTTCCAAACAACGGTAGGCTGCATGCAGCCTCTCCGTCTCGCTCGGCATCGTCACCCCTCGTGATTTACGCAAACATCTCTTCGCGCGCTCTCTTCCATGCTGCACAGCACCCTGTTAAGGAGCTCATCAGAGGTTCCGCCCACCGCCGAATATGTAGACGGCCAAGTCTTCCTGCTTCTCTCCTGTGTCTGAAATTCCACCAATGTCCAGTTCCATCACCATGCGAACGCTGAATTTTTTTCGGTCACACTTGTCGTGAGCGTCTGTGTGTCTCACCGTCAATCGACAGCCTGTCGGCAGGTGATCACAGGCCAAGTCCTCGCGAGTGAAGGTGACTGCGCAAAGAAAACTTGAACTTCACTGGTTGGAATCTTAAAGTTGCACTTCATTTCAGAGCGCGAGATGCCGTGCTCGGAGCGAAGCGCAAGAACGTGGTTGTGATCTTGCAGGTGGAGTTCTCCCACCAATCTGCATCTTCGGCTAATGACGGCGAGCGGAAAGATTCGGAAATGCGCGCCATCAGAAGAAGAGCTGGAAGGATCAACTGACAAGGAGGGCGTGGGCAGTGCGAGTAAGTTGAAGGCGAAGAGCGACTGCTGGAATGGTCTCGCCACATCGTCTCTTCTGTCCTTTTCCATGCTTCCATTTCGACTGTCATCTCTCACCATGTATATGGACGACGTCACTGACACTGAATGCTCTTCGGTATGGGGTCCGGCGGGAACCGCAATCCCTCGAGAGACCGCACTCTCTCGAAAACGATTGCGCCGTCGCGAACATCGAAGAGGCGCGTGCTCATGACAGTAAAGGCAAAGATGCTTCGGAACTCATCAGCCACGAAGACAAGATGCGTGCTTTGGCCGGCATCAGCTACGATGACTTTGCCAATCTCATGACGGAAAGACGGCCCTCGGCTCCTGCACCGAAGTTCAAAGTGGTTCACTATTATCCGCGATCGTCGATCTTGGACGACGAGCTCTCTACGATCTCTCCTTTTGGATGCTTGGGACTTGTTCAGCATCGTTTCAAGCAAACATTCAACTCTGTCTCCGAGGACCCATGCAGCAGATTCCGCGGTAGAGTCCTAACATGTATCGACGGAATCAGCAGGGAGGATTTTTTCGTTGGCAGTCCTTTTTGGATAGGACGTACGGCGCATTTTGATGTAACCCTCTTCAATACGGCTTTCCACAACGAGCTTTGGCGTGCGGGAGCCAGCAGCCATGCCGAATCCTACTCGTACGGCACCGCCCACGCCCCAATTGGACCGGATCAGGTGTTGCTCCTGGTCAACACGCTCGACCTTGGGGTCAGTCTGCTCGATGTTGCCAAGCAAGTTAAGAGCAAGGTCGACCAATCCGTCGAGATTACGATCGAAACCCTTCAGAATGTCCTGATCATCTCAACTTCGAAGGATCCGTCTATCTCCTCGGCAAGTTTCGCACTCCATTTGTCTTGTGCAGCTTCGACAGCTCTTTCGACATTAAGGTTAAAGGACTGAAGGGTGAAACAATGTGCAGGGTCCACTGCCTCACGAAACCCAACTTCTGAACTCGAGAAGGGCTATATTCCAACCGCTGTACCAACCCCGGTCAAGGTAAGCAGCTTGAAGCAAAATCAAGGTGTGCTTGCGCATACGAGCGAATCGCGATACTGATCTTTCACTGGTTCTCAGTAATTACGTACGTCAGTACGAGCTTCGCGAATCGGTAGAGATTACTAACACCTTCAGCATTCACTCGGAGCTGCCTACAAGGGAGGAAAACCACCATCTCGAGTTCGAGGGAACTGTTTATGCTCTGGGCAGGTACCGCAGCATTCGCGATTTCGTCCCGGATTGCTTCATCGTGGACCTCAGCGGTATGGAGTTTGCCGGAAACGAGAATCGAATCTACTGCCTTACCCAGCACGACGTCTGAAAGTTGCTCCATTAGGAACCCCATGGTTAATGCTTCGCGCTCTCATTTCGTGTCTCGTATCTCAATCTCAGCAATGAAGTCCCCACTTCCCGACATGGGCGTGTGACTCGAGATGGTCCTGTCCTGCTGTCCTTTGCATGATCCTTTCTTGTCTGCGGACGTCTCGATCCGAGCAATACCGGTGCCAAGTGCCAAGCACCGGCAAGGGGTCGTTTGCTGGCACGAGCCCGTCCTTGCACAAACTGATGCGTAAAATCTCCCACAGAAAATCGGCACAAAAACCCGGACACAAAAAAAGTAGAAAAAAAATCTCCTTTGAGATCACATCCGGCTCCCTTCAATGTACTGCGCAGCATGCTTTCTCATCTACCCATCTCATCACCAAGCATGAAGCTCAAACACCGACTGCACCGATGATGAACCAAATAGCCGTGATATTTAGCTGAACTAGACACGGAACTGGAAGGCATTGGGGAAGCTATCGAGTGTGGGGTGGATCGCGTCGTGGTCCTTCACGTCAGGAAAAACATTGGCGTATGGTGCTGTAGCCGGAAGCGAAAGCGAATCGATTGGGGCTCCCATGGACGATGTGACGGTAGAAGAGGTATACGTGGGTGAGAGCGAGTGTTCGGAAGAAGCCGAATCTGTATCATCCGCGAGGGGCATCGACGATGTCGACGGTACGCCCAGGTCAGGCCAAAGCAGCGACGAGCTGCCTGCGTCCGGAGTCTCGTCCGTGCCGGCAGCGGCTTCCCTCGGCTCTGATTCGGATAAGATCTGCAAGCAAGACGCCCAAACCTCGTCGGTGAAAGCAGAAGGCATGGGCGCGGGGGGAGCGACGCTGCCACCACCTGCTAGGAACGCTTCGATAGCCGGCGTCTGCGCGGCCACCGACGCGTCCATCGACTGTGACCGTGCATCCTCGTCGCGCGCGAGATGCATCTGCAGTTGCTGCTGGCGCTGCTGCTGCTTGAAGGGCGAGTGAACCTCGAGCAGCTTGGCCACCTCTGCGCTTGCATCCACCGCCATGGTCGAGCGGTTGCTGAGCTGGTCGAGTGCCCAAATGCACTTGTGCACGCGCTGTTCTGCCGCCTCGAGCTCCGCCCACGCACTGCGAGCCGCCAGCTGTGCGAATTGCTTGATCTCGCACTTGGCCACGCACGCAAAGCCGTGCACCGAGATCTCGGGCCACGGATCGCTGTGCAGCACCGTGCTGTCGGTCGCATGGATAAACTCAAACGGCGACTCGGCGCTCGGCACGCGTGCCAAGCTCGAGCGCTGGATGGCATCGATGAGCGCCGCCGTGTTGAGACACACCTTGGTGCGCAGGGCGGCAAAGATCTCGTCGGTGTTCTGGAACGGATCCGACGAGGCGGCGGAGCGGTCGATGGTCTGCACCAGCTCCACGAGCAGGATCGCCGCGAGGTTCCACTTGGTCGCCGTGATGACGTGCCAGCTCTGGATGGACGGCGGCAGCTCGTGGTGGTGCGCAATGCAGCTGGCGAAGAACGGCGCAAAGGTCTCGTCCCAGTGGCGCACGACCGAGAGGACGTGGGTGATCTGGCGCTCAATTTGCTCGCTCGAGGCCTGACGCCAGTAGCTCGACTGCAGCCGCCCGACGTGGCGGAAGAGGAGCACTTTGATCGGTGTAGCATACGCCAGGGTGCGCTTGGCATCCTCTTCCGAGCACGGCCAGCTCTTGGCGAAGGTGTGGCGGTTCTTCTGGCTGTTGGCTGGAATCACCTCGTCCCAGATCTTGCGCACCGGCTTGCGCGTCGCACTTGCGCCCGTGGCAAAGCTCTCGGTCTCGTTGCGCAGACTCGTGGCGCGCTGCGGCGAAAGGAGCTGATCGGTGAGATCCGAGTCTTCATCCCCAATCACGGCATCGTACTTGCGCAGCACGCTGAGCTCGGTGTCCATCATGCAGCCGAACCAGTACAGGTTGTGATACGTGTTTTCAAGCAGCGTTGCTTCCGCCCTACGATGCGCCACTTGCGACGCTTCGAGACCAGGTTCCTCGGTCGACCAGAGGTCGATACCTTTACGTCTGAGCTGCTGAATCTTGAGCCGGAATGCCTTGAGCTTGCGCATGGCGGTGGCGAGCATCATGGTGCTGGCCTCGGCGTTGATCTGCCAGGAGGAGGAGTCGAGCGCGCTGTTTTCGTCGAGAGAAGGAACCTCATGCAGCTGTGCGGGCGGCTCGTTGTCCGAGCCCCAAGCTTCGTCGTCGGGCACCTCGCGCGGCTTCTCAGTCCAAGCAAACAGGATGAGCGCGAAAACGATGCGGAACGACCACGCGTCTGCGGCGTCCATGAGCTTGTCGCGCGCTTGCTTCCAGAGCGACAGCCGGATACGTGCCTCGTCGGGCTTCCATTCGGCGCGACTAGCTGTCTGGCTGTTGCGATGTCGGGGCCATTGGGCTGCATACGCGAGCAGCACGGCATGATACGCCTCCGAGACGCGCTTCTCGACATTGCGACTTGCATTGTCCGCCTTGAAGATGCGCTTCGATGCGTGATCCAGCAGAGTCACCTTTTTGTTGAGCGACATGGCGGCCGAAGTCGAGCTTAACGAGTCGGCGCAGAGGAGATAGGGCGTGGTGGCATCGGTGACCCACACGCGGAAGGCCGATTCGGCAGCTCCTTCGTAGACGTTCAAAAGATCCGAATTGAGATGTTGTCGGTCTGCTGTCTGTGCGAGCCGTACGCTGGGTGCTGATCCCCAGATCTGGAAGCCGAGGATGTCGAACACGGACGTGTCCGACTCATCTTCCGCAAAGGGAGATTGTGCGCGGCTGAGGACGAGCGAGTTGGAGGCAGCATTGGAAACTGGCTGCACAAAGCCTGCGTACGACGAAAACATCTGCTGCGAGTCGAGTGCCGAAGCCTTTCGTCGCTTGGCGGGCGGCTGGACCAGGTCGTCACAGCTGTTGAGCAGCTCAAAGACGGCGTTGACATTGTCGATGGAAGACTGGCTATCTCGACGTCGTTCGGCAGCTCTGCTGGACTCTGGCTCGCTAGCGAGGGTCTCGTCGATGTTCATATCATTGGAGGCGGCGGCGCTGGTGTTCTCCGAAGGCAAGCCATTGCTGGTCTCTTGTAGGCTTTCGGCGAAAGCGGCTCCCGTGAGACCAGCAAGAGGGATGCCGCCGAACGAGTTAATGAGGCTGTTGAATGTGCACACCTCTCCTTTCTTCTTGCAGTTCTTACAGGCGACTTTGTTGGCAAGCGCCTCGGCGATGCTGACGTACTGAGCGGAGCAGGCACGTTTGGCTTGGCGGCAGCGATCGCAGTTTTTGTACATCTTTTTGCGCGAGCGTGCGGCGCCGGCCGCGGTGTCGTCGTTCGCGGCGTTCATGGCTGGATCGAGCGCAGCAGCGGGCGGGACTGTGGTCGTCTGGGAGTCTTGAGTCGAGGTAGACATGGCGGCAGTGAATGGGAGAATTGATCCGTACCGGATGTTGGCGCCAAGGGAACGCCGAGCAAGCCAAAGTGAATGGATGAGCACAGGCGATAGGCTCAGGGGCGTGTCGAAAGTGCTGAAGGACACGGAAGCAGCCTGATCGTGGTCTGCTACACTGAAGGCCGGTGGTGAGTGGGTGATTGCGGTGTGTTTGTATCGTCGAACCTTCTGGAACGATGAGTCAAGCTCCAAAGAGTGCGATGGGTGGCACAAGACTGTTGGTCGGGATGCAGCACGGGGAACGTCAAGCGAGCACCTTCAGGTGGATTCGCGGCGAATGCGGGAGAGCATGTGGTATATATGAGCGAGTCGATGGACGGATGGAGAATGCGGGGTAGCACTGAAGGCTACGGCAAGTGCCAAAGCTCTGAGACGTGGTGAGCGACGAAAGACAGAAAAGCGGGGGAGGCGAGATGCGCGAGAGGGACAGGAGTTGTCGTCCCAGCAAGGTCTGGGGCGGCTACGACTTCGGCACGGACGGGAGATTCGATCTCGGGAGCGCGCAGGCGGTTGAAGCGCCAACGTGGAAAAGAAGAGCGCGGGGTTGGCAGGCATCGCTCACAGGCAGGGCGGCGGTGCGGCAGAACCGTGCGAACCAAGCAAAGCTCCGACGATGCAAGGCCAAGTACGAGGGCATGGCCAAACAGCGGCAGAACGAGCCTCGCTTGGCCTCGCTTCTCTCTGTCAAGCGCCCTATTTTTGCGGGGTAAAAGATAAGAATTAATTACATTCTAGGCCCCGGGCTGAAGCCATGGACAAATGCTCACCCGACATCAAGATGAGCAGCCAAAGCCAAGATCGAGGAGTTGTTGTCTGCGGGCAAGCTGGGCCGCGTCGAGCGATCCGTGCGCCCAAGAGGCATCGGAGTGCAGAACACAATCGAATGTCAGGGTTGTAGCGAGGCCGGCAGCAACGGAGCGATCAAGGCCCAGCTCATTCGGAAAGCACGGGGTGCAGTGCAAGCAAGGCGACGCCAGCCAGTCCGAGCCAGACTTTGTGAACCGCAAGGGTCCAGGCTCGCTACTGTGTTCATCGTCGAGCGAGCGTTGTAGCGTTGTCAATTGCCACGCTGTAGGAATGCTGATATTCTGCGTCGCTGGTGGGCATCACGCGGTGGCATCGACATGCAGTACTTGGTCGTGCGTCGTGCGCTGCAGCCGCTGCGGGGAAAATCGCCCATCTCGGCACACCATTCCGACGGCCTTGCATTTCCGTTCTGCTCCGTCAGGCAGCATGAATGCTGCGGTAGGGATGCGACATGACCGTCCTGGCCTTCGTGATCTAGATCGCAGCGAGAATGGGTCGGCGTGCGGCTCTGCTCGTGGAAACGGTCGAGTCAGGACCTGCGGGCTTCCCGGACAGTTCAGCATGATTTAGAGAAAACAACTCACTTAGCCGAGACTCCAAGGTTGCGGGAGCTGCCGCAACGCCACATAGCCCGATCTGGACTGTGCGCAATCAACCACAGCCAGGGCCCGATAGAACCGATCTCAGTCGCCGTCGTTCATGCCAGTTCACCGAGAGGAGAGATCCGTGAATGTCTGCATTGCTGACATCTATCGGCGCTGCTTCTTCTTGCTTGCGGCGTCGTTGGCCTTTCCATTCGAGTTGCCTTTCCTCTTTGCGGCGTCCTTGGCGTTCTTGACCTTGGCGGCCTCGGCTTCGGCTTCGCGGATGCGGTCCAAGACGTAGTTGAGGACGCGCTTCTGGTCGAGCAGCACGCGCTTTTCGCCCAGTCGCACCACCAGCGCACGACGCTCGTTGTCGCCGCCAACTTCATCCTTGCGCGAGCCGTAGAGCTTGGCCTCTTCCTCGCTCACGCCCGCACCGCCAGGGTATTGCTCGAGCCGCAAGTCGATGGCGTCCGTCATGATTTGGCTTGCCGAGACTCGCACCACCTTGTTGTTGGGGAGGGTGTGCTCTTCCTGCGATTCGACTCGGGCGCTTGGACCTTTGCCCTTGGTGCGGGCCTTGTCGAACGCTTCGCGCGACATGCACAGCACACGCGTGAGCGCGATCATCTCCTCCGAAATACCCCCGCCCGTTGCGGCCGCCTTGAGCTCCTTGGGGCTTCGCTTCTCGGGCTGTGCGCGATGCGGCGGCTTGCTGCCCGGCGTGAAGAGGTAGTTGAGGATGAACACCTCGTCGATTCCGAGGGAGGAACACGCCCACTCCAGCCGCTCCTCGAGATCTTTCTGTAGCGCATCTGCATCGGCCGAGAGCACGCGTGCAAGATGCGCCTTGGCGGCCTGGAGCACCAGCTTGGCATCCAGCTCAACCACATCGCTGCCGTTGGGCTCGTCAACATGTCCGTATCGACGAAGCAGGTCGCTATTGGGCGGGTCGGCGTACGTGTTGAAGATCTGCTCGCCAGCAGAGATGGGCTTGGTAGCGCGCATCTCGAGCACGTGCGACTTGTAAAAGAGCCTGGCGTTGTCCGACTCGAAGCGCGCATTGAGCATGTCAGCCATGGGGGTCATCGAGATGTCGACGACATTTTCTTGCTCTTCCTCGTCCTCGTCATCATCATCATCATCATCATCATCATCATCATCATCATCGTCATCGTCATCGTCATCATCATTATGCTCTTCCTGAGCTTGGTCAGGTCCACCTTGTGATGCGCCGTCGTTCGGTGTCTCGTCCGCCTCGCCCTCATCTTCGAGCAGCTCAGCTTCAGACTCGTCTCCCTCCTCGTCTTCGCCCTCGTCGCTGTCGAGGTCGTCCATGTCGACCGTCTTTCCTTCGAGCCCCTTCTTGCGGCTCTTGACGTGGAAGCTGCGACTGAGGATGCGAGAGCCCATAATGTGGTAGGTGTCGAGCGAGTACCACCTGTTCAGCTCCGCCTCGTGATCCTCTGCGCCTGTGCCGTCTAGGAACACCTGCGGTAGCGAGCGGATATATGGAAGCGCCTTGTTGTGGTAGTCGGCTTCGGCCTCGTCCCTGGCGATCTTGTCGGCAATCGAGGTGCCAGCCAGATGCTGCAGATCTCCTGAGCTCCAGAACATGGGAGTGCTAAATTCTGTCGGCATGATGTCAAAGTAGGCGCCCCAGGTCTGCTCTCCGAAACTACGGGGAGCCTGACGCAGGTCCTCGCGGTCGCCGTTCGATCCCTCGAGGTGCTCGGCGGATGCTGACACTGCTTCTCCGTTCTCCATGGACACATCGCCATCGTCTGTCGTAGGTCTACCCGGCGCAGAGCCGCTCGAGGGCTGGGCTGCTCTTCTTCGTTCAAACATCATGGCTAGAATGAGAGGAAGCCATCCCATCTTGCTGACCTCTTTCCAGGTGAGTGCGTCGGAAGCTGTGGAGGTGGAGCCAGTAGCGGGGTTAGCTTCTGCCTCTGAGCAGCGCTTGGCGAGCGTTGATGTGGCGAGGTTTAGCAGGGCGTGGCGCGGGATCACAAAGATGGTCTCGCCAGCGTCGATGGAGGCGTTGGCCACCATGCCTCTGCCCATGCCGGGGATGGGCTGAATGCGGCAGCGAGCATCGAGCGAGCCGCCGGACTGGCGGAACCAGCGCAGAAAGCTGGCCTCCACCTCGGACGTGGTCTGTCTTGACTGCGTCGTCATGGCCGTGCCAATAAGCTTGCCTCTTCAGTGCTATAGGCTGAGATGGTGTGGAGGCAGCTGGCACCATCGGCAGCTCGCACTTTTTTCGCCTTGCAGCCCAAATTCCATAGGCAGATCTCGGAAGTCGGGGACGAAGCTGCGAAGGTCGTTTTCTTCTCAACGGCGGCCCACCGGCTACCGATTTCCCAAAAAAAGCGGCCGCCGATGATTTTCATAATGCCCTCCGGGGCCATGATGCGAGGCGCGTCACGCGCGTTTGTCATGTTGCGGGCGGGCCGAAGCAGCTGAGCAGTCGTCTCGCAACGATGAGGGCGAATCGACAGCCAGAGAGCGAGTGCGGTTGAGCCAGCCAGCCATCCGTTCCGGCCCTTCTCAACAAAAGAAACCGAGCCTCGACCTCGATCCAAGTCTAACCCTAACCACGACCACCTTTCCTTCCCCGTTCTCAGAAGAAGAGTGTTGCAAAGATGGCCTTCACTGTAACCGTTGAGAAGCGCACTGCGCCTGGCAAGCCTGCCTCCAAGGGCTTCCCGCTCACCGTCTCGCTTTCGTCGTCCAAGTCAACGCTGGGCGAGCTCAAGACAAAGGTGGCCGCAGCCTCGCGCAAGCTCACGGTCGAGCGCCAGCGCATCACCACCGAGGACAAGAAGCCGCTGCTCGACGATGACAAGTCACTCGCCGACCTCGGCGTCACTTCGGGCCAGACGGTCTATGTCAAGGATCTGGGCCCGCAGATCGGCTGGAAGACGGTCTTCCTCACCGAGTATGCCGGCCCCATCTTCATCCACCCGCTCTTCTACTACTTTGGCCCGCAGATCTGGCGCCGTGAATTTGCGCCGTCCAAGATGCAGACGGTGGCGCTCTCGCTCGCCGTGGCGCACTACGTCAAGCGCGAGCTCGAGACGCTGTTTGTGCACCGATTCAGCAACGGCACGATGCCGCTGTTCAACATCTTCAAGAACTCGACGCACTACTGGTTCCTGTCGGGCTTCCTGCTTGCGCCGTTCATCCACTCGCCCTGGTTCTCGGCATCGTCGGTGGCAGGCACGATCCAGGACAACCCCAAGTTCATCTTTGGCGCCGCGGCGGTCATGGTGCTCGCCGAGCTCTCCAACGCCTACACGCACATTATCCTCAAGAACCTGCGCCCGGCAGGCACCAAGGTGCGCAAGATCCCGCGCGGATTCGCGTTTGAGCTCGTCTCGTGCCCCAACTACTTTTTCGAGTTTGTCGCCTGGGCGGCGTTTACGGTGCTCACGCTCAACCCGGCCAGCGCGCTGTTTGCGGCGGTCTCGACGGCGCAGATGTACGTGTGGGCGATCAAGAAGCACCGCAACTACAAGAAGGAGTTCGGCAAGGAGTACCCCAAGCGCAAGGCCATGTTCCCCTTCATCGCCTGAGGTGTCGACCTCTTTGCCACTCGCCATGCCTGCCCTTGCAGCGATGTGCATCATGTGTATCGTGTTTGATTGCAATGCACTTCCGAAAAGTCTTCTCAAAATGTGGTGTGAAGAAAAGTCAGCAGTAGGTGGGGCGTGAAACGCGGTGGTAATCAAGAAGCTGCTCGGGGCTACCGTAGACTAGGTGCAGCGGTTTCTCGAGTTCAGGGAGCGAAGTGACGGGTTCATGCCATCCCCATTTGGTGCGTGGATTGGCACGACCCGAGTGCATCGATTCGTCATCGTCTGCACTGCCTGCTCTGGGATCTGTCTGCTCGTCGTCGAGCGAGGAGCGATGCGATGTAGCCTGCGAGTCGCCCGAGCGTGTGGGTGACGGCAGGAATACATCTGCCCTAGCCGCACACGCCTGGAGCGAGTCCCCGTTAGCGGCCGCATCTTCATCGAGATGTGGACGATCGAGGACATGATCTAGAAATGCGCCTACACGGCGGTGGAGCGTATCGAGACGCGAGACGAGGCCACCGTATCGCAGCTCGAGCGTCTCCCATCCGTGCGGCTTGTACATGGACATCCACACCTGACGGTGATACTGCCACAGCCGCGTGGCCGATTCAAAGCACCGACCGGTTCGACGGTGAAGGTGCCGTAGCTGCGGCCAGTTGCGTGAGGCGTAAGCCTGGTGCAGTCGCTGGCGCAGATTCGCCTTGAGAGACAGCGTGCGTGCCACCAACCGTGCCAGCTCCAGTCGCGCATTCATCGGATGATCCGACAGAACCCGCACCGTCTCCGTCGGTCGCCCGCCCGCGCCGAAGCCGCCAACACCCAACAATGATGCTGCTGCCCCCAACAATCCACCTGCACCGCTCGATTTGCTGCCACTCTCGCTTTGCGGCCTAACGACGAGCGTATCGCGATGGCGGAGCGGCTCTTCGAGCGTCACACCCTCCAAGCGGTCGCTCAACGTCGATGCTAGGCTGGCAAAATGCTGTTCGGCATCAAAGCCGGATGCGACGAGCGTGGGCTCGGCAAAGCTGTGCACGGGATCGCCCCATAGCATCCACTTGCTCGTGTTGGGTGCAAAGTGGATCTTGTCGTCCGCCGCCACTGCCACGCCATCCTTTGTGGTATCGTCGATGGCAGACGCACGCACAAAGTCGTCCCAGCACCCGCCTACGATGGCGTCGAACTTGCTCTTGACCAGCGACACATCCAGTCCCTGTGCCGCTTGTGCATTTGGTGCTGCGAATGTTGTCGAGTAGGCGTGGTCTGCGTAGTAGCACCAGGCTGGCAGAGACGACCAGAGGTCCACCTCATTCCCCTCGTCACCCCAGATTGTGAGGAAGACGTGGCGTACGCCAGGCGAGTTCTTGGCTGCAGTCAGGTTGGCTTGGATGGTCTGGAATGTGAACGGCAGTGCAGTCCAGAAGCGCGACCACGTCCACGATCCGGCTGCGAGCCAGGGGCTTGCACCGCGCAGTTCCTCGTGGTTCTTGATGCGCGTCTCGTAGCTGGTCGACGAGGTGTGGTAATAGTCCCAGTAGACGAGGTCGACGTCCTGTGGGATCCCCTGCTGCTTGACATCCAGCGGCTGTGCCGAATCGTAATAGCCCACCAGCGAGTTGTTACGCGCCGAGAGGCAGAAGAGCATATCGGACCAGATCATCGGCTCCAGCCCGAGCGACTGGCATATGGTGTTGACCTTTTGCAGATGCTCGACAAAGATCTGGCTGCCCGGCTTGTTGTTCTGATGGCCGTAGATCGAGTAGTACCTGCCGTGGCCAAGACCGTGCGTCTCGTCCATACCGAGATGGATGCGCTTGCTGCGAAAGGGTGCGGTGGCTGCTTTGATCATCTTTTCGAGCATGATGTAGGTTTCCGGCCACTCGGGAAGCAGCACTTCTGCAGTATCGCGCATGCCGAGATAGCGCGGCCACTGGAGCATCTGTCCGAGATGACCCAGCGTCTGAATGCACGGAATCAACTCGATGCCAAACTTGGCCGCGTAATCGTCGATGGCTTTCAGCTCGGCTTGCGAGTAGCCGCCGCGCATGTACCCAAAGAAGGGCTCGCCCTCGATCTCGTAAGTGTCTTCGGTGTAGAGCTGGAGCATGTTGTAGCCGAGCAGAGCGAGGATGCGCAGCAGGTACTTGGTGGAGCGCACGTTGAGCACACCGTTGCGCGAACAGTCGATCATGGTGCCGATGGTCTCGTAGTCGGCGGTCTGGGCGATATTGAGCCGCTCGTTCGCAACGTCTGGACAGAGGAAGTAGCCGCGACCAGTCTGCGACCCGGAGGAGGCGGCGAAAAGACTGGGATGGAGTCGAGTTCCATCTGTGTCGCTGTTGCCCAGTGTAAGACAGTCTTTTGCTACGCCGAGTACGTGGCCCAGCGCACGAAAGGCGAGGTGAGGAGCGCTAACATGGAAGCCGACCTGGATCACAAAGGCTTCGTCGACGGGCAGAGCGCCGGACCTTTGTGCGTGATCATGCAGAGGTGCAAATGTGGCAGACGAGGTCGAGCAGCGCCATGTGAGCGGGCCTATCTGAGATTGTGATGGATCGTCGGAGGCGGCTGCATGCTCGCAAAAGTGCACGTTCCAGTTCCAGACCGATGGATTGACGGAGCTGCTAGAATTGTTGTCCGACAGACCACCGGCGGAGATGGGATGCTCATCATCGTGAAGAAGTATGACGTCCGGTCTGATGTGGTGCTTCGCCAGCTCTTCGATACCTGCCCCGATGGAAGTCGGAAGCGACCGTCTCGAGATGCAGATACGCACCCGCGGAAGCTGTGCAAGCGGCACGGTGTTTGATTGCACGCCCTCGACGTCCGGATCGGGGCCCATCGAGGCATCGCGCACGGTATCTGTCATTATTGCCGTGCGTTCGCGATCCTTTCACAGAATGGAACATAAAGGTGAGGGAGGAAGAAGTCACGAGCGAAGTGCGAATCCGAGGGTGGCCAGAGCGCTATCGCTTCTCCCCGCAAAACCCCCTCGAACCGCAGCAGGTGGAGGCGCGCCTTGCCAACTGGCAGAGTGGCAAAGTCGGCGGCTTCGGTGCACAGTGCGCCGTACTTGACGGCCGCTTCCACCCCGTCATCGACCCAACCCCGGAAATTCGCCGAAGCGCAAGGTCGATGATGTTAGACCGTTAGCTGCCTTGACCTCATTTCGAAAATTCGTCCCGAAGATCAACGACAGGCGAGGTGGAGTTTTCAGCCAGTCAGAGGCCGCCGAGAGCTCGAGAGAGAGTGAGTCAGTGCGAGCTTTGGCTTCGGGCCGTCCTTCTCGACTAAGCACGTCTTCTCCGTTCGCTATCTTTGCTCTCGACACCCAACCGCCTCGCTCTGTCCGCAGCTCGCTCTGACATCCCTCCAGCGCAGCGCTCATAACGACACAGGAAAGGCGTCGAAGAGGAACCTCGATCACAAAATGTCGGATCCGGCCCAGGCCGTCCGGGCCTTCATGGTCGGCTCCTTTCAACAGCTGCCTCCGTCCCTCGTAGATGATTTGGCGACCGGAACAGTCTCTCTCCTTGGTGTCGTACGTCTACTTGGAGAGTACCTCACTTCAGAGGACGAAGAGACCAGGACAAGAGCCGTCCAACTCCTGTCCGACCTCACATGCCACTTTCTCGACCCAGACACGCCACCTTCCCAGTCCGACAAGCACCAACCGCTCAGCACCATCTTCACAATCCAGGCCGTGCGCACCCTCTCAGCCTTCTTTGCCGACAAGATCGCCGACGGTGTCATCATTTCCGACAACTTTGTGCGATCTGCACAGGCGCCCGAGGTGCTACCCGAATCCGCACCCCGCGCACGCAGGAATGAGGCAGAGCAAAAGACGCTGCAGGGAAGCGCCATGCTCGTCAGCTCCCTCAAGGCGCTATCGGTGCTCAGTGCGTGCAAGGCACCCGCGGCGCCTGCTGCCTCGTCCGAGCCAGCACCTGTTAAAGGCTTCGGCAAGGAGCAGGCGCATGCCGTCGCCGAAGCTCTCTTCTCCCACGTTGTTGCGACCAATCACCCACAGAGCCTTCGTTTCATCATTTATCGTCTCCTGGACAGCCTCATTGCACATCATAGGGACGCGCTCAAGACATTCCGCTCGTCCTCCGTTGCCTCTGCTTCCTCCGATCCACCACAGCAGGCCTCTGCAGCCTCCCCGCCCGCCGCGATGGACGTCGACGAGTCTGCGGAAAAGCCCGAGGCGGAGCAGTCTGACATCGACGCACCCAAGTCCGAAACGTGCGAGGGCAAGGACTTCCTTCAGGGCTACGCCAAGATGGTTCAGGGTGAAAAGGATCCGCGCAACCTCATGGTGCTATTTGGCGTCGACAAGGTGCTCCTCACCGAGTGGGTCATGGATCGCGAAATGACCGAAAAGTTCTTTGACATCACCTTCTGCTACTTCCCCATCACCTTCCGGCCGCCACCCGACGATCCGTACGGCATCACCTCGGACGACCTCAAGGTAGCGCTGCGCGCTGCCATCTGCGCCTCGCCCGCCATGGCACCTCTCGGCTACCCGCTCCTCCTCGAGAAACTCAGCGCGGCCGGTGGCCCAGCGAAGCTCGACACGCTGCGCACCTTGATCGCTGCGATGCCCGTCTACGGCCGCGCTGCTGCGCTCGCCAACGCCGCCAAGCTCTGGGAAGGCCTCAAGATCGAGATCTTCCATGCCACCGACGACGAGACGGGAGACCTGGCCGTTGACACGCTCACTGTGCTCCTCCATGTCCTGTACCACGGAGTCGATCCGCCCGAGGGTGTCGCGCCCAAGATGGTTCACGACTGTCTCGTCGAGCTCGAGGAGCCGGGCAAGTCGCTCGCGAAGGCAGGCATCAAGGTGCTCTCGTGCCTGGTTCGTGCATCGGCCAGCACCGCCTACCTCGCCGTATACGGATTCATGGACCAGATGATCAAGATGTTCGCCGACCCGGAAGACCTTGCCCAGCGCACACCGATCCTTGCCGGTATCGGCGAGCTTCTCGAGGTGGTGGCAAAGGTGTACCGCCATGCCGAGCTGGCCAAGAACCAGGCTGCTGTTGACGCCAAGGCGCATGTCCGGGGACCTGGCGAGGGCGCAACGAGCGAGATCGGATTGGGTCAGCTGCTGCCCGCCAGTGCGATCGAGCGCTCGTACGCGGGTGACAACCGACCTTTAGATCCGTTCATCTCTGACCTGCTCAACTGTCTTTCGAACGGCCTTCGTTCGACGTCGTACCGTCGCTCGGCCATGCTGGTCTTTTCGTCGGTCGTGTCCATCTCGATCCTCAGCAGCAACAGCGTCGCGCCGGCCGATAGTACTGCGGCCGCTGTGGGCACCAAGTCGAACACAGCGCTGCTGGACTTTGACGAGCTGAGCTTCCTTACGCGAGAAGTGGCGTCGCTGCTCGTCTCGTCCGTCGGCGACGATGTGAGGGAGGAAGCGCTGTGCGCGATCGAGGTGATATCCAACGAACGCACTGCCAACACGCTCGCCGCTGCCAACCCCACCGCACGAGTCATCGAGCAGGTCGTGCTGCCTGTCCTGCTCGAGAAGCTGCCGGACCGCATCGAGCCCGTCGGCAACCCCGAGGAGCGCAGTGCCGGAAACGCTGTCGACGAGATCGAGGCCGAGCTTGACCTGGCCAAGGCTAACATTCGTCGCAGTCTGGGCGCGCTCTCCCGCCTGTGTGTGGCGCCGTTCCTTTTCGAGGCTGTGGTGGTGAAGCTGTTCACCAAGCTCGAGCTGTGCTGTCGTCCGAGTTCCCGACCCATGGCCGGTGTCGACAACGATGAGGGCAAGGATGCGACGACTGTGCAGATGCAGGCGCGTGTGCTACAGGAAGCCAATCTGGGCTATGCGCGCGGTCTGATCTTGACGCTGCAGACCATGGTGGATCTCAAGCGACAGAACGCGCACCGCGACCTAGCCAAGTACGCGCAGACGCTGCCGTCGCGTCTGGTGAGCTTGACGCTTTCGGGGCTCGAGACGGCGAGTGCGACGGGGCAGCTCAGCATTGCGGCCCATCCGGCCGTGGTGGCGGATACGGCCGCACTACTCGGCACATTCGTCAAGCTGCTCGATGACAATCGCCAGCTCGAGCTGCTGGCGAGTCTCAACAAGACCTTTGTGCGCGGCAACGCGCCGTTTGTCGATGCTGCCTCGGGCTCGGTCGGAGAATCGCTTGTTTCATCCGGGTCGATTTTGGCGCAGTCGTTTGCGCCATTCTCGACGGTCGCTGCGGGCGACGTGGTTGCCGTGGCGAGTCGCAATGCAGTTGCACTACTGTCGGCTGCCGTGGTGGCCTCTGCGCCCGCAGCGGGAGTGGTGCAGCTAGCATCCGCGTCCGATAGCGTCAGCTCGCGGTACGAGGCTGCGTTGGCCTCCCTAGCATGCTTGCTCGATTGGACGCTGCGCACCATCGCCAGCACCGCCGGTAGCGACGATGCCGTGTACAAAGCATCGCAGGCTCTGCAGCTCAACAGCGCGTACTGGGCAGCCACGGCGCTGGTGAACAAGTTTATCGACGAGACGCAGCCTGCGTTCCTGACGCTGCTCGACGACTTCTGGGGGCAGAACATCAAGACCACCGGACAGGCGGGGGCTCGGCGGGTGGCACTGCAGATGTGGATGTGGCTGACGCGCGCACTCGTAGTCAAGTCGTCCAAGCTCGCCGAGGCGATGCTCAACCGTGTGCTCATCGAGATCTTTGACGATGTCTCTGGCGCGGTCGGTTCATCGGGCCAACTTGTGCAGTCGTCTGGCGCAGGTTCGATGGACTGGAAATTCGCACGGGCAGCAGCGAGGGATTTGTCGACGATCGTTGGAGTTGCCGAGGACGGAATCTCGACCAAGGAGAACGGGTTCACGGTGCGGCTGTTGTGGAAGCAGAAGCTGTTTTCCTTTGTCCTGCCACGGTTGCTCGAGTCGTACGGGGCGGCGGCGAAGCATTCCCACCATGTGCATGGGGATCATTGCCACCATGCAAGCGACACTGTAGATGCCAAGACGATCTACCTTGTTTCGCTGGCGGGGTTATTGCCTTCGCTGCCACCGAGCATGTTGGTGGAGCGACTGGAGGGACTGTTCCCGCTCCTGATCCAGGCGCTCGAGTTGCCTGATTCCAAAGCACGCTCTGCCGCTGCTAATGCACTCACGGTGGCTAGCGAGGTGGGCAAGAAGATCTCCGCAAGCCAGGATGGATTCAACCCGACCAGGCTTATTGTCGACCATCTCTCCGCCATCACCGCCAAATTGCTGGCGAACATCGAGCCAGGCACGCATTCGCCACCTAGCACGCGAATTGCGGCCCTGCGCACGCTGTCGAGTCTAGCAGCCCGAACTGACAGCGAAGATGTGCCGACCCAGACGGGCGGGTTGGAACACCACCACCTGCACCCACTGCGCAACAACGTGCTCAAGAAACTCGCGCAGACCAACGCGGGGATCGACGACCCAGTGCGTGCCGTTCGCACCGCCGCCGTAGACGCCCGCGACGCCTGGTTCGCCGTGGCTGAAACGTAACCCCACGCTGCAAGTCGACATGCAAATGATTAAAAAAAAA